AAGGGGCTCAGAAGGAAAGACACACCATGAACCAGTGGTTTTGGAGAATGGAAAGCACACATAATAGGGACTGCCAGGTGGTCATAAATGTAGAAAACGATCAGTTAGCTTGGCTGTGTGCTTTTCTCCAGGAACACTCAGCTGCTTCAGCAAAGGTGAGGAACCGTGAACAGGTGGGCCTAATCAGATGTAGGGCTTTGTTGCCTAAGTGGGTAAATGTTCCATGTACAGTTGAAAAGAATGTGTATTCTGCTTTTGTTGGGTGGGATGATCTACAAATATCACGTAAAACCTGTTGGCTGATGGTGCTGTTCAGTTCTTTTGTATCTTTGCTGATCTTCTGTGTATTAATAGTAGTTCAACTATGAGGAGTCCCCAGCTATAACTGTGGGTTTACCTATTTCTCCTTTTAGTTCTGCCAGTTTTATTTCACACAGTTTTAAGCTCTGTTGTTTGGTGCATTTAGGATGGTTATGTCTTCTTGGTGACTAAGCTTTTTATCATTATGTAATGTTCTTCTCTGTAATTTTCTTTGCTCTGAAGCCTACTTTATCTGATATTCATAGAACCACTCAAGCTTTCTTCTGATTTGTGTCAGAATAAATGTCTTTTTCCATTCTTTTACTTTTAACCTACCTATAACATTATATTCAAACTGAGTTTCTGGTAGACAGCATATAGTTGGGTCATTTTAAAAAATCCATTCTGGCAATCTTTGTCTAGTCTCTGTCTAGACTACTTACGTTAATGTAATTATTAATATGTCAGGATTTAGGTCTGCCATTTTATTTGTTTTCTTTTTGTTCCCTCTGTTTTTTATTCCTGATTTTCCTTTTCCAAGGAGCCCTGGTGGCACAGTGGTTAAGCGCTTGACTGCTAACCAAAAGGTCAGCAGTTTGAACCAAACTATCAGTTGCTCTGCAGGAGAAAGATGTGGCAGTCTGTTTCTGTAAAGATTACAGCCTTGGAAACCCTACGGGGCAGTTCTACCTGTCCCACAGGGTCACTGTGAGTTGGAATCAACTCAATGGCAATGGGTTTTGTTTTCCTTCTCCTGCCTTCCTGTGGGTTACTTGAACATTTGTAGTATTCCGTTTTGCTTTATCTACAGTGTTTTTCACTATATCTCTTCATATAGTTTTTAGTAGTTGTTGCTCTAGGGGTTACAATTTATGTACTTAACAGTTTACTAGTATCCATACTATACCACTTCAAGAATGTAGAAAACTTACCACCATTTAGATCACTTTATCCCTCCCCCCTCTTTGTGATATATCAAACCAAAAACCAAACATGTCGCCATCAAGTCAATTCCAACTCTTAGCGAACTTACAGGACGGAGTAGAACTGCCCCATAGGGTTTCCAAGGAGCACCTGGTGGATTTGAACTGCTGACCTTTGGGTTAGCAGCTGTAGCTCTTAACCACTACACCACCAGGGTTTCCTCTCTGTGATATATTGTCTTAAATATTACCTCTACATACATTGAGAACCACATCAGACAATGGTATAATTTTTTTCAATCGTCAAACATAATTTAAAAAAATAAAGCAGAGAATAGTCTATGGTAGTTTACCTAGATATTTAATCTTTCCATTGTTCTTTCTTCATTCCTAATGTTCAGTTTCTTTCTATTATCATTTCTGTTTGAAGAACTTCCTTTAGCAGTTCTTTTAAAGCAGGTGCTCTGGTGACGAATTCTTAGTTTTTCTTGATCTAAGAATGACTTTATTTCACGTTCATTCCTGAAGGATATTTTTGCTAGGTAGAGAATTTTGAGTTGGTAAATGTGCCATTTCCCTCTGGCCTCCGTGTTTGTGATGAGAAATCTGCTGTGATTCAAGTTTTTGTTCCTATGTAGCATTTCTCTCTGGCAATTTTGCAGATTTTTTTTTTGTCTTTATTTTTGAAAAAATTGGTTATGATATAGCTGGGGATGGATTTCTTTGGGTTTATCCTTTTTGGGGTCACTGAGGTTCTTGAATACGTAAGTTTACGTCTTTCACCAACTTCACCAAGTTTCCAGCCATTATTTCTTCCAACCTTTTTTTCAGCCCTGTGCTTTTTCCTCTCTTCTGGGACTCCGATGACATAAATTCTTGACCTTTGCTTATTGTTCCACAGGCTGATGAGGCTCTGCTCATTTTTTTTTTTTTTCCCCCAAACTATTTTCTCTCTGTTGCTCAGACTGGATAATTTTTGTTGCTCTAGTTTCAAGTTCAGTGACTCTTTCCTCTATCATCCCCATTCTTGTATTGAGTCTATTCAGTGAATTTTTAATACAAATGTTTTATTTTTCCTGTTCTAATGTGTACATTTTGTTCTTTTTATATCTTCTACTTTTTTGATACTTTGAATTTTTCCAGTTATTTTTTTGATGATACTTTGCATTTTTCCACTTATTTCAGGGGCGTTCATAACTGCTGAAGCATTTTTACGGTGGCTGCTCTAAAATTCTTCTAAGATAATTCCAACATCTGCGTCATCTTGGTGCTGGTGTCTGTTAACTGTCTTTTCTCATTTAAGTTGAGATTTTCCTTGTACTTGGTATGGTGAGTGATTTTGGGTTACACTGTGGACATTTTGAGTATTTTGTTATAAGACTCTGCTTCCTATTTAAATATTCCATTTTAGCAGGCAGTCAAACCATTAAGTTCAGAACACACATCCTAATACTAACCTATTTAAATATTCCATTTTAGCAGGCAGTCAAACCATTAAGTTCAGGACACACATCCTAATACTAACCTATTTAAATATTCCATTTTAGCAGGCAGTCAAACCATTAAGTTCAGGACACACATCCTAATACTAATTTAGTTTTCCAAGACTTTGCACTGCTTTTCTGGCCTACTCGGTATGCCACTTAGAGGCCAGTCTGAAACCTGGGTAGTATTCCAAACCATAGTTCAGTTCTCAAAGCTTTTGCTGCACTGATTCTGATCAGTTTCATGCATGGGCTACTTAGGGGTGTGTGCAGGACTTCATACACAGATTTAAAGATGCCTTTCTTCAGCTCCCTCCTCTATGTAATCCTCTCCCAACTCTCTCCTAGGGAGGAGGGTTGCTGTCTCTTTATTTTCCTTCTCTAGCGCAAGGTGGTCATGGTCAAGGGCTTCACCCCATCGTCTCCACAGCTGCAGCAGCCAGTGGGGAGCAGGAGGAGTGCAACTTATGTCATAGTATGCACCTGGAGTAGGACCAGTAGAGCGAAAGGTGTTCCATCCGGCAGGGTCACCCTACTACATGTCCTCTGGCTGGGGAGAGCAGGTTTCTCTCCAGCTGGTTTTTTGTTTTTTTGGCCTGCAGCTGCACGTTGCAAACAGCTCTAGTGCCCAGGCCAGGCCATGTTATCAGGCGAGGAAAACAAACATGAAACTCACTGCTTAGTCATCCTTGCAGTCTCACGGTCCTTAGCCAGCTCACCTTCTTTTCTCCGCCTTTCAGTCTTCTGACAGTTGCTTTAAGCATTTTGTCCAGTTTTTAGTTGTAATTCGTGGGAGGAACAGGGTAGAATGCACTTACTCTGTCTTGTCCAGAACTGGCAATGATGCCTTTTTAAAGAGCTTCTTGAGATGGATCATTTTTTTTTTTAAATTACAGACTATACATAACATACAGTGAACCAATTTCTGAGGGGAAGAGGCCAAAACCAAAAACCAAACCAAACCCGTTGGCATCAAGTTGATTCCAATTAATAGCAACCCTATAGGACAGGGTAGAACTGCCCCATAGGGTTTCCAAGTTGCTGCTGGTGGATTCAAACTGCTGACCTTTTGGTTAGCAGCCAAGCTCTTAACCACTGGGCCACCAAGGCTCCAGGAAAAGGGTAGTACTATTCAAGTAGATGCTCAAGACTGAAGTCACTCTAAAGCACAGGCAGGGCTTTCTGGTCTTTATTCAAATGCCAGAGAAGCTGTCCCTGACTTCACCACCTAACACTACTGCAAAGTTCCCAGCACTACCTATCCCTGGTATTTACTTTTTCTTACAGCATTTTTAACACCATCCCCATTATATATTTATTTGCTTGTTGTCTATTTCTTGTCTGTATAAAAGCTCGGGGTGGGGGGGCAAAGACATTGTCTACATTGCTCACTGCTGTATCCCCAGCTCCCAGAAACTGCCGTGTGGAAGGTGCTCATTATATACTTGTTAATGATGGGGTGAATGAATGAATAAATATACTTTCCTCAGAGCATCCTTTCAAGAATTAAATGAGATAATGCATGTTAAGTGTTTAGTGCAGTACCTGGCACATAATAAGGACCCAATAAATGTTATTTTTTCATCTGCTTTGTGCCTTTCAAGCGTATAAAGGGTAAGTACAGTCATGTGAGGGATACCACATACTACTGGGAGAAAGTTGGAGAATGCCGGGCTAGAGAAGGCTCTTTCAGTGATCCAGACTTTAGCAGGAGCCTTCAGAGATAATGAATGGAAGGGTACAACATGACCACATCTATGCTTTAGGGAAGAATTCTGCCAGAAGTACACAGGATAAGTTATGGGAGGAAGAAATTGAAGCAGGAGGACTATTGGGAGAATGCTGGAAAAGGTCCAGGAGTTATTATATCTCTCAGTCCTGGGCCACATGGAGCTCATATCCTAAGGAGAAAGCTTTCCTAGGTCTATTTTCAACAATCCTCACAACTCTGAGACTTAGACAGGATACATATTATCCCCATTTTTCTGAACAGGAAACTGAGGCTTAGAGTGGTGAAGTGACTTAAGTCACCTAGTCAACAAGAACGAAAACTGGTCCAAGAACTCAATTCTTCTTCTATATTTGAGTCTTTCTACTCTGTTACATGACCTAATCGTCAAGCTATAAGCTACCCAAACTGCTAGAGTATTTTGTGATTTAGATAAATTGAAAAAGATAAATGGCGTTTAATTCAGCAGTAATCACCTACTACCGTTTCTTACATTTATTTTACAATAAATGTATTATATTTTTGAAACAGGGGCTTTCAAGATACAGCAATGGGACATAGGCAGACATGATTTCCTTGAACCGGCTCCTGGTTTGGGACTGTTTGTGACTGTTAAAACTTACGAAGATGAGGTAAAACATTCTTTTATGTTTTATTGCTAAAATTTTTCATTTCCTCAAAATTCATGTGCCTTGAGTCCCCACAAAGTTTTAAAATCTCTACATATAGGATATACACACATTAACCACCATTTATAATTTTTAATGTATACTAAAAAAAAATTCCAAACCCGTGGCTGTCAATTCCAACTCATAGTGACCCTATAGGACAGAGTAGAACTGCCCCATAGGGTTTCCAAGGAGCAGCTGGTGGATTCGAACCGCCAACCTTTC